ACTAATATAATATATTCCCATAAGCTACCCAGTTACCTTAATATTTACTAAAATAGTCCTTATAGATTATATCAAATATTTTAATGCTCCTTTTCTGACTGTTACAGCAATTTTGTTCCATTAGAAGAGCAATGCCTACTATAACTGTCAGAAAAAGAAGCATTAAAATTACTTATAAATTCTGAGATCTACAAGTAGAAAATGAACCAGACAATAAATTTATTAGAATGACTAAAATTTATACATTTACTTTGGGATGAGTGGAATATTTATGAATTTAAGTCTTCTTTTATGAGACCATATATTTTCCTGTTTTTAAGTCCATTTGAGCATCTTTGAAGTATTCTATCTTTCTCATATAAGCTGTATATATTTCTGGTTAGGCTTATATTTTCCGTCTATATATTCTTATATATTACATCATAAAAATATGTAAATTATATATATTACATACTATACAATATAAGAAAGTATAAATATATATATATAATTTTATGTTAATATACAATTTATTTATTTTAGTGTAGTTTTAGATTTATTGAAATAAAACTTTTTGCATACCCAGATGCAGCTTCTCCTACTATTAATATCTTACATTACCACTATTATTTGTCACAATTAATGAATAAACACTGATCAGCTAAAGTGCATAGTTGATTCATATTTCATTGATTTTTACCTCACCTCATTTTCATGTTCCATAATTCCATCCCAGATACATCTTACATTTAATCATCGTAGTTCTTTAAACACCTCTTGGCTGTGACAGTTTTTTAGACTCTACTTATTTTTGATGACCTTAAAAGTTTTTAGAAGTACTTGTCAAATATATTGTAGAGTGTCCCTCAACTGGAATTCGCATGGTGTTTTTCTCATGAATAGATTAGGGTTTTGCACTTTTGGAGGGAAGACCACATAAATGAAGAGCCATTTTCATCACATTATATTAAAGGTACATATTGTCAACATAATTGACTTATCACTGATGATATTAACATTGATAATTTGGCTCAGGTAGTGTTTGTCAGGTTTTTTTTTTTTTTTTCTGTAAAGTTACTCTTTTTTCCCTATCAAAGATATACTGTCTGGAAGGAAGTTGACATGTGCATTCCATATTTAGGGAGCGGAGATTTATGGTCTACCTCCATGGAGTTAGAATTTCCATAAATTACTTGAAATACTTTCTCACTGAAGTTTGTATTTTCTTCCTCATTACCTTATCCAATAATTTATTTATATTAGTATAGACTGAAGTATATTTTTTATACTTTGGGTTATTTTATGTTTTCATTTATTATTCATTATTACTATAGTTTTAAAATTCTTATAGCTTTGGGCTTTGGAAGTGCTTTTTGTTGGCTTCCACATTCCTTTGATATATTAACATCATTTTAAGTATTTTTTTTTAAGCACTTGCTTTCTGGCACTAAAGGATGATCCAGGGACATTTTGTATATTTTTTTCCTACTTCTAAAATTAGCCGTTTATAGTCAATTTAAAATTTTATTTCATAAATGGGATATTCTTTTACTTTACATATTCAAATTAGTATTTCTTTTTATTCATGAGTATTTATTTTTATAAATTAGTTGCTTCACCTAATAATTTATTTAATTTTCCTATTTGTCATAGGAGTTTTTCCATGGATTCTTTTAGTTGTCCAGATATGTAGCCATATCATTTACAATTGGGTTAAATACAATTTTCCTTTCTGATTTGTATACTTTACTTGTTTCATTTTATTTAATTGCACTGACTAATAACTACAGTCTATAGACAGAGTTCAGAGATGTTGTGGGTTTGGTTGCAGAACACTGCAATAAATCAAATGATACAATAAATTTAGTCAAATATATATTTTTTTGGTTTCTCAGTGCATATAAATGTTATGTTTATAGGGTATCATCAGAATGGATAAAAAAAAAAAAGACCCATCTATATACTGCCTGCAAGAGACCCATTTTAAACCTAAAGACACCTGCAGATAGGAAGTAAGGGATAAAGAACCATCTGTCATGCGAATGGATGTTAAAAGAAAGCCAGAGTAGCCATACTTATGTCATAAAAACTACATTTTAAAACAAAAACTGTAACAAGAGATGAAGAAGGGCATTATATCATGATTAAGGGTCTATCCACTAAGATCTAATAATTGTAAATATTTGTGCCCCCAACCTGGTACACACAAATATATAAATCAACTCATCACAAACATTAAAAATAACTCACTGATAATAATATCATAAAAGTTGGTATTACAGCAATGAACAGATCATCTAAGCAGAAAATCAATAAGAATGACACACTGGACCAGATGGACTTAATGGATATATTCAGAATATTTCATCCTATAACAGGAGAATACACATTCATCTTGAGTGCACATGGAACATTCTCCAGAATAGATCACATACTGGTTCACAAATCATCCCTCAGCAAATACAAAAAGATCAAGATCATACCATGCATATTTCCAGGCTACAACACTATGAAATTCAAAATCAACCACAAGAAAAAAAAATTGGAAAGACCACAAATACTCAGAGTTTAAAGAACATCCTATTAAAGAATGAATGAGTTAACCAAGAAATTAGAGAGGAAATAAAAAAGGACATGGAAGCCAATGAAAATGAAAACATGACAGTTCACAACCTTTGGGATTCAGCACAGTGGTCATAAGTGGGAATGTATACCAGTTCAGATCTTCCTAAAGAAGGAAGAAATGTCTCAGGGGCGCTTGGGTGGCTCAGTTTAGTGTCCAACTCTTGATATTTGATCAAGTCATGATTTCATGGTGCATGAGTCCATACCCTGCATCAGGCTCTGCATGCAGCCGGTGTAGATATTGCTTGGGATCTCTCTCTCTGACACCCCTCCGCCCACTCACTCTCTCTCTAAAAATAAATAAATAAACGTAAAAAAAGAGAGAAGGAAGAAATGTCTCAAATACACAAACTAAACTTACACTGAAAAGAACAGCAAATAAAGCCCCAAATCAGCAGAGGAACCATAGAACAGATCAATGAAACCATGAGCTGGGTTTGAAAGGAATGACAAAATTGATATACCTATAAAAAAATTTATCAAACAAGAAAATGGAAAGGATCCAAATAAATAATATCATGAATGAAACAGGAAGGATCACAACCAAAACTGGAGAAATACAAACTATAATAAGAATATTATGAGTAATTAATGCCAAAGAATTGGGCTATATGTAAGAAATGGACCAATTCCTAGAAACATATAAACTTCCAAAACCAAAACAGGAAGAAATAGAAAACTTGAACAGACCAATAACCAGCAAAGAAATTGAATCAGTAATCAAAAATCACCCAACAAACAAGAGCCCTGGACCAGATGGCTTTCCAGGGGATTTCTACAAAACATTTAAAGAAGAACATTTATTCTTTTGAAGCTATTACAAAAAGTAGAAATAGAAGAAAAACTTCCAAACCCATTTTATGAGGCCAACATTTCGTTGATTCCAAAACCAGACAACGATCCCACTAAAAAGAAGAATTAGACAATTCCCTGATGAACATGGATGCAAAACTTTTAAACAAGATACTAACAAATCAAATCTAACATTATATTAAAAGAATCATTCACCACAATCAAGTGGGATTTATTCCTGGGCTGCAGGGCTGGTTCAATATCTGCAAATCAATCAATGTGATACATCACATTAATAAAAGGAAGGAAAAGAACCACATGCTCCTAAAAATAGATGCGGGGAAAGTATTTGACAAAATACAGCAAACTTTCTTGATAAAAACCCTCAAGAAAGTAGGGATAGAAGGAACATAATTCAAGATCATAAAGGCCATATATAAAAGACCCACAGCTAATATCATCTTCAATGGGGAGAAACAGAGATTCCCCCATAAGATCAGAAAAAGGACAAGGACATCCAGTCTCATCACTGTTGTTCAACGTAGTGTTGGAAGTCCTAGCCTTAGTAATCAAAAACAAAAAGAAATAAAAAGCATCCAAATCAGTAAGGAAGAATTCAAACTTTCAGTCTTCACAGATGACATGATACTCTTTGTGGAAATCTTGAAAGACTCCACCAAAAAACTGCTAGAACTGATATATGAATTCAGCAAAGATGCAGGATATAAATCAGTGTACAGTAATAAGTTGCATTTCTATACATCAATCATGAAGCAGTGAAAAGAGAAATCAAGGAATTAATCTGATTTACAATTTCATCAAAACCCATAAGATACCTAGGGATAACTTTAAGTAAAGAGGTAAAAGAACTTTTTGCTGAAAACTATAGAAAGTTTATGAAAGTAATTGAAAAAGACACAAAGAAATTTAAAAACAGTCCATGCTCATGGATTGGAAGGACAAATATTATTAAAATGCTTATACTACCCAAAGCAATTTACACATTCAATGCAATGCAATCCCTATTAAAATAACACCAGCAGGGTGCCTGGGTGGTTCAGTAGGTTGGGCATCCAACTTCAACTCAGGTCATGATATCTCAGTTTGTGAGCTCAAGACCCACGTCAGGCTCTGAGCTGACATCTTAGAGCCTGGAGCCTGCTTTGGATTCTGTGTGTGTGTGTCTCTCTGTTCCTCCCCCACTTGCACTCTGTCTCTCTCTGTCTCAAAAATAAAGATTTTAAAAAATTAAAAAAAATAACATCAGCATTCTTCACAGAGCTAGAACAAACAATCATAAAATTTGTATGGAACCAGAAAAGACCCAGGTAGCCAAAGTAATGTTGAAAAAGAAAAAGAAAGCTGGAAGCATAACAATTGCAGACTTCAAGCTGTATTACCAAGCTGTAGTCATCAAGATAGCATGGTACTGGCACAAAAACAGACACTCAGATCAATGGAACAGAATAGAGAACCCAGAAATGGACCCACAAATATATGGTCATCTAATCTTCGACAAAGCAGGAGAGAATATCCAAATGAAATAGTCTCTCAAGCAAATGGTGCTGGGAAAACTGGACAGAAACAGAAGAATGAACCTGAACCACTTTCTTACACCATACACAAAAATGATCTCAAAATGGATGAAAGACTTAAATGTAAGACAAGAAAACATCAAATTTCTAGGAAGAAAACACACAATAACCTCCTTGGCCTCTGCTGCAGCAAATGCTTATTAGACATGTCTCCAGAAGCAAGGGAAACAAAAGCAAACAGTAAGTATTGGGACCTCATCAAGATAAAAATTTTCTGCACAAAGGAACAGTCAAGAGAACTAAAAAGGCAATTGATGGAATTGGAGAAGATATTCCAAATTACATATTGGATAAAGGGTTAGTTTCCAAAATCTATAAACCAGTTATCAAACTCAACACACACACAAAAACAAATAATCCAGTGAAAAAATGGGCAAATGACATAAACAGACACTTGTTCAAAAAAAGATATCCTGATGGCTAAATGACACATGAAAATATGTTCAACATAATTTATCATGAGAGAAATAAAAATCAAAACCACAATGACATACCACCTCACACTTGTCAGAATGGCTAAAATTAACAACTTAGGAAACAATAGATATTGGTGGGGATGTGGAGAAAGGAGAACATTTTTGCACTGCTGGTGGGAATGCGAAGTGCTGTAGCTATTCTGGAAAACAGTATGGAGGTTCTTCAAAAAATTAAAAATAGAGCTACTCTATTACCCAGCAATTGTCCAATACCAAATATGCTTTGGTATTTATCCAAATGATACAACAATGTTGATTTTAAGTGTTACATTCACCCCAATGGTTATAGCAGCACTATCAACAATTGCCAAATTATGGAAAGAACCCAAATATCCATCAACTGACAAATGGATAAAAAAGGATGTGATATCTATATGTATCATCTATATCTATATCACCTATATCTATATATAATGGAATATTTCTTGGTGATCAAAAATAATAAAATCTTGTAATTTTCAATGATGTGGGTGGAACTAGAATGTATTATGCTAAGTAAAATAAGTTAGTCAGAGAAAGACAAATATCATATGATTTCACTCATATGTGAAATGTAAGAAATAGAACAGATGAACATAGGGGAAGGGAAGGAAAATAATATAAAAAGAGAGAGGGAGACAAACCATAAGAGACTCTTAAATACAGAGAACAAACTGAGGGTTGCTGGAGGGGTGTTGGGTGTGGGGATGGGCTAAATGATTGATGGGCTTAAGGAGAGCATTTGTTGGGATGAGCACTAGGTCTTATATGTATGAGATGAATCACTAAATTTGATTCCTGAAACCATTATTCCACTATATGATAACTAACTTGGATTTAAATAAAATTTTAATAAATTAAAATATGTTTACCTTATACTCTAGTTTTTTTTAAATGTGAAATATCATTAAGTAAAAAAAGAAACTGTACATACCTTAATTTAAAAATGATTTATGGGCCAACAATGCAGACCATTTTTGTGCTTTCAGTGATTCATAATCCTTTTTAATTAAAAATTGGTTGACCTACAATATTATACTAGTTTCAGATGTATTGATTTGACAGTTATATACATTACAAAATGTTCACCAAGATTAGTATCATTAGCACCTGTTACCATATAAAGTTATTCTAATATTATTGATCATATTCCTTATGCTGTACTTTTGATTTCCGTGACTTATTTATTTTATAACCAGAAGTTTGTACCTCTTAATCTCCTTTACTTATTTTGCCAATCCCTCCATTACTTCCCCCCTGGCAACTACCACTTTTGTCTATGTATTTAAGGGGCTGTGTGACTTTTTGTTCCTTCGTCTATTTGTTTTTGTTTTTGTTTTTGTTTTTTTACATTCCACATATAAGTGAAATCCTAAGGTATTTGTCTTTTTCTGTCTGATTTATTTCACTTAGCATAATACATTCTAGTGTGAATTGTAACCTTTTTTACTGGCGGAAGATTTTGCGGTTGCTGACTGATCAGGGTCTTGGTTGCTGAAGGTTGGCATAGCTATAGCAATTTCTTTTTTTTTTTTTTTGATGTTTATTTTTGATACAGAGACAGAACATGAAAGGGGAAGGGACAGAGAGAGAAAGAGACAGAGAATCCAAAGCAGGCTCCAGGCTCTGAGCTGTCAGCACAGAGCCCGACATGGGGCTTGAATTCACCAACCATGAGACCATGACATGAGCCGAAGTCAGATGCTTAACTGACTGAGCCACCTATTGCTTTTCCTGTTCAAGCCTCATAGCCTTTCTATCTTTTGAACATATTAAATTTGCTATACTCTTTGCCTAATATAATTATTTTTAAAGTTTTTTAATAGACTATTTTAGTGTAGTCAGCCAGAGAAAGACAAATATCATACGACTTCACTCATATGAGGACTTTAAGATACAAAACAGATGAACATAAGGGAAGGGAAACATAAATAATATAAAAACCGGGAGGGGGACAAACAGAAGAGACTCAAATATGGAGAAGAAACAGAGGGTTAATGGAGGCGTTGTGGAAGGGGGATGGGCTAAATGGGTATGGGCATTAAGGAATCTACTCCTGAAATCATTGTTGCACTAAATGCTAACTTTGATGTAAATTAAAAAAATAAACTAAATGTAATTTAAAAAGCAGACCATTTTAGTGTGATTTTCTTTTCACCGAAAAAATCATCAGAAAACACAGAGTGTTTTGGGGCACCTGGGTTGCTCAGTCAGTGAAGCATCCAACTCTTGATATCAACTCAGGTCATGATCTCACAATTCGTGGGTTCAAGCCCCACATTGGGCTCTGTGCTGACACTGCAGAGCCTGCTTGGGATTCTGTGTCTCTCCTTCCCTCTCTATGCCCCTCCCCTACTCACACTCCCCCTCTATCTCAAAAATAAATAAGTAAACATTAAAAAAATTAAAAAGAAAACACAGAGTGTTCTCATGTAGCCTATGCTCCTACACATGGACAGCATCTCCCACTTTCAACTTCATCACTAAAGTGATACATTGTTTACAATCTGTGATGGTCCATTGACACCTAATTATCACCAAAACCCCACACTAAGATTCACTCTTGATGTACATTCTATGGGTTTTGACAAAAGTGAAAGACATGTATCCACCATTACAATATCATACGGAACAATTTCACCGCCCTAAAAATCCTCTGTGCTCTTCCTATTTTTAGTGTCTCCATAGTTTTGTCTTTTCTAGAATGACATATAGTTGAAATGTGCAGAATATAACCTTTTAAGATTGGATTCCTTCACTAGTAATATGCATTAAGTTTCCTTCATGCCTTTTTGTACCTGATAGCTGATTTCTTTTTATTACCGAATAAATATTCCATTGGTGGGATGTATGAAAAATTCATTTATTCATTTAGTTAGTGAAGTACATTTAGTTGCCTCCAAGTTTTGGCATTTGTGAATAAAGCTGCAATAAACGTTCATGTACAAATGTTTTGGTAGATATGTTTTCAACCTAATTTGGATAAATACCAAAGAGCATGATTGTTTGATCATATGGTACAGTATGTTTAGTTTTGTAAGAAACTGCCAAACTGCCAAACTGTTTTCCAAAGTTGTACCATTTTACATTGACATCAGCAATGAATGAGTTCTTGTTTCTCCATATCCTCCTTAGTATTTAGTGTTATCAGTGTCTTAGATTTTTGTCATTCTAATATGTGTATAATGGTACCCAATTGTTTTAATTTTCATTTCTCTAATTACATGTAATGGTGAGCATTATTTCACATGCTTATTTGCCACCTATATATATATATATGTATATATATGTGTATACACACACACACACACACACACACACACACATATGGTGAGCTGTCATCATTTAGCTCATTTTTAAATCAGGTTGTTCATTTACTTATTGTTAAGTTTTAAGAGTTCTTCATATATTTTGGATAATACTACTTAATCAGATATGTCTTTTGAAATTTTTTACAATATTTCCAGTTTGTACTTCATATTCTATTTCTCTTTGCAGTGTCTTTCACCAAGGAAAGTGTTTAATTTTAATGAAGTACTGTTTATAAATTATTTATTTAATAGATTATGTCTTTGGTATTATATTTGAAAACTTATTGCCAAACCCAATCTCATCTAAATTTTTGCTTGTTATCTTCTAGATGTCTTACCCTTTTGCATTTTACAATTAGATATGATTATTTTGAGGTTGATTCTTGTGAAGTTGTATGGTCTGAGTCTAGATCTTTATTTTTCTTTTTCTTTTGCATGTGTATATTCAATTATTTCAGTATCATTTGTTGAACAGGCTACTTTTTGTCTATTTTTATTGCTTCTGTTCCTTTGTCAAAGATGAGGTGATTATATTTTTGTGGGTCTATTTCTGGGCTCTCCATCCTGTTCCATTGATCTATTTGTCTATTTGCCTACTCTTTCACTAATACCTTACTGCCTTGATTACTGTAGCTTTATACCAAGTCCTGATGGTGGGTAGTGTTAGTTCTCCAACTCTTTTACCTTTTTCAATATTTTATTGGCTCCTTTGGGTCTTTTGCCTTTCCATATAGATTTTATAATGAATTTATCAATAGACAAAAGTATGACTTGCTAATATTTTGATTAGGGTAGAACTGAATCTATAGATCAAATTGGAAATAACTGACATCTTAACAATATTCAGTCCTATCCATGAACGTGGACTATCTTTGTTTGGTTCTTTGATTTCATTCATCAGAGTTTTGGACTTCTCTTCATCTAGATGTTGTACATATTTTTGACATATTTATACCTAAATATTTAATTTTGGGGGTAGATAATGTAATTCACATGGTATTTTTTTATTTATATATGAAATTTATTGTCAAATTGGTTTCCATACAACACCCAGTGCTCATCCCAAAAGGTGCCCTCCTCAATACCCATCACCTACCCTCTCCTCCCTCCCACCCCCCATCAACCCTCAGTTTGCTCTCAGTTCTCAACAGTCTCTTATGCTTTGGCTCTCTCCCACTCTAACCTCTTTTTTTTTTTTTTCCTTCCCCTCCCCCATGGGTTCCTGTTAAGTTTCTCAGGATCCACATAAGAGTGAAACCATATGGTATCTGTCTTTCTCTGTATGGCTTATTTCACTTAGCATCACACTCTCCAGTTCCATCCACGTTGCTACAAAAGGCCATATTTCATTTTTTCTCATTCAAATGGTATTTTTTAAAATTTCAAATGCCACTCGTTCACTACTGGTATATAAAACATGAATTGACTTTTATAATATTAACCTTATTTTCCAAAACCTTGCCCTAATTGCTTTTTAGTTTCAGGAGTTTCTTGTTAACTCTTTCAGATTTTGGATTTTCTACATAAACAACCATATCACCAGTGAACAAAGTTTTATTTCTTCCTCCTAATCTGTATACCTTTTACTTACTTCTCTTGTTTTATTGAATTAATGAGGTCTTCCAATATGATACTGAAAAAGAGTAGTGAATGAAGGTATCTTTGTCTTGTTCCTGACCTTAGTGGGAAAACTTTTAGTTTCTCACTTTTAAGTATGATGTTAACTGTAAGGCTTTTGTAGATGTCTTTTGTCATGATGAGAAAGTTCCTCTTTATTCCTAGTTTACTGACAGCTTTTTTTAAATGAATAAGCATTGGATATTGTCAAATGATTATTCTACATATATTGATGAAATTATGTGCATATTCTTTTTTTCTATTTTTTTGTTTATTTATTTTTGAGAGAGACAGAGACACAGAGCAAAAGTGGGGGAGGGGTAGAGAGAGATGCAAATACAGAATACGAATCAGGCTTCAGGCTCTGAGCTGTCAGCACAGAGCCCAACACGGGGTTCAAGATCCTGAACTGCAAGGTCAGGACCTGAGCTGAAGTCGGATGCTTAACCCACTGAGCCACCCAGATATCCCTGTGCTTTTTTTCCTTTAGTCTATTGATGTGATGCTTTACATTAATTGAATTTTGAATATTGAAGCAACCTTACTTGCCTGGAATAAAGCCCTCTTGGTCATAATGTATAATTATTTTTATACATTGTTGAATTTGATTTGATATTTTGTTGAGGATTTTTACATCTATGTTCATCAGAGTTATTTTTCTTCAGTTTTATTTTCTTGTAGTGTTTTGTGTGGTGTTGCTATTAAGGTCATGCTGATCTCAAAAATTACTTATGAAGTAATCCCTCTTCCTCTATCATCTGAAAGAGATTGTAAAGAACTGAGAGAATTTCTACCTTGATTATTGGGTACAATTCAACAGAAATCATTTGGCCCTGGTACATTCTATTTTGAAAGGTTATCACTTATTGATTCGAGTTTTTAATAGACAGAGGTTTATTCTGATTGTATAGTTCCAGTGTAAGCTTTGACAGATTCTCTCTTTAAAGGAATTGGCCTATTTCATCTAAGTTATAAAACATGTGGCCATAGCATTGCTGACAGTAGTTATTGTCTTTTAAATGTTCATACAATTGTTCAGTTATCTCTCTTTTTCATTTATGAGATTAGTAATTTGACTATTCTATATTCTTTCTTAGTTACCTTGGCTAAAGTTTTATAAATTGTATTGATCTTTTAAGACAGTCAACCCTGGGTTTATTTGATTTTTCTCTAATGATTTCCTGTTTAAGATTTCACTCATCTGTTGAAATCTTTTCTTCTTCTTTATTTAAAATTAATTTGTTCTTGTTAGAGTTTCCAAAGGTAAGAAGTTAAATTAGTTATTTTAGCTGTTTCTTATTTTTGCAAAATATGCAATGAATTTTATAAACTTCCCTGAAAGCACTGCTTTCACTACATCCCACAGATATTGATAAGTTGTGTTTTCATTTTTATTAGGTTAAAATACTTTTAAATTTCTCTTGATATTTTTTTGACCCATGTGTTATTTAGAAGTGTGTTGTTTAATCTCCAAGTGTTTTGAGAATTTCCAGTTATCTTTCTGTTTTTCATTTCTGGTTTAATTCCATTTTTGTCTAAAAGCATACACTGTATAACTTTTATATCTTTAAATTTGGTATGGTGTTTTTTATGGCCCAGAATGTGGTCTATCATGATGAATGTTCCATGTGAGCTTAAGGATAATGCCCATCCTACTTTCATGTATGATTCTATATATGCCAATTATATCTACTTAATTGATAATGCTGTTCAGTTTAACTATGTACTTACTGATTTTCTGCCTAATGGATCTGGTTATTATTAACAAAGGGTGTTGAAGTTTCCAATTGTAATAGTGATTTAATCTATTTCTCCTTGCAACTCTGGCAGTTTTTCCCTCATGTATCTTTATGCTTTGCTGTCAGGTGCATACACATTATGTCTTCTTGTTGAATTGACCCCTTTATCATTATGTAATGACTTTATGTATTCCTTATAATTTTCTTGCTCTGAAGTCTGCTCTAAAATTAATATAGCTACTCTAGCTTTTATCTATCTTAACTTTATCTTAGTATATATTTATTCATCCTTTTGGTTTTAATATACATGTGTCTATATTTAAAGTGGATTTCTTTTTTTCTTTTTTAATTAAATTGTTTTAAATATTTTATTATTTTTGAGAGACATAGAAACAAAACAAGAGTGGGGGAAGGGCAGAGATAGAGGAAGACACAGAATCTGAAGCAGGCTGTCAGCACAGAGCCCTATGCATTGCTTGAACTCACGAGCAATGAGATCATGATCTGTTCCCAACAAACAGCGACTCAGGCGACCTTAAACTGGATTTCTTGTAAACAACATGTAATTAGCCTTGTTTTTAAATTTGTTTTTGTTTTTTTATGAGAGCAGAGAGACAGAGAGATAGAGAGAGAGAAAAGAGAGAGAGAGAGACAGAGAGAGACAGAGAGAGGATGAGTGGGGGAGGGAGCAGAGGGAGAGGGAATCTTTTTTTTAAGTTTATCTGTTTATTTTGAGGCAGAGAGAGGGAGAGAAAGAGTCCCAAGCAGGGTCCACACTGTCAGCACAGAGCCCCATATGGGGCTCGAACTCATAAACCATGAGATCATGAACTGAGCCTAAAACAAGAGCCGGATGCTTAACCAACTGAGTCACCCAGCATCCCAACAGAGAGAGATAATCTCAAGCAGGCTCCAGGTTCAGCATGGAGCCCAACATAGGGCTTATTTTCAGATCATGAGATCATGACCTGAACAGAAATCAAAAGTTAGACACTCAACTGAATGAGCCACCCAGGTGCCCCTGGGCCTTTGTTTTTTTATCTATTCTGAAAAATCTGTTGTTTTTTAACTTCTATATTTATACCACTGATACTTAAAGTAATTGTTGAATTCCAGATTTCAAATTATATTACAAAGCTGTAGTAATCAAACCAGTATGGTACTGGCACAAAAATAGACACATAGATCAATGGAGCAGAATAGAAAACCCAGAAATAAACCCACAATTATATGATTAATTACCTTCAACAAAGCAGGAAAGAATATCCAATGGGAAAAAGACAATATTTTGAACAAATGGTGTTGGGAAAACCCGTCAGCTACAAGCAAAAGAATGAAATTATACCACTTTCTTACACCATATACAAAAAAAAAAAATTAAAAAAAAAGATTAAAGGCTTAAATGGAGACCTGAAACCATAAAAATCTAGAAGAAAGCATGGGCAGGAATGTCTCTGACATTGCCATAGCAACACTTTACTAGATATGTCTCCTGAGGCAAGGAAAATAAAAGCAACAATAAACTATTGTGATTCTATCAAAATAAAAAGCTTCTGCACAGTGAAAGAAACAACCAACAAGACTAAAAGACAACACATTGAATGATAGAAGATAATTGCAAATGACATCTCTGATAAAAGGTTAGTATCCAATATTTATAAAGTACTCAGACAACTCAACACCCAAAAAACAAATAATCCAATTGTAAAATGTTCAAAGGCATTAACAGACATTTCTCCAAAGAAGACATCCAGATGGCCAACAGACACATGAAAAGATGCTCAACACTATTCATCATTAGGGAAATGCAAATCAAAACTACAATGAGATATCACTTCACACCTGTCAGAATGGCTAAAATCAACCACACAATAAACAACAGTGTTGGCAAGGATGCACGGAAAGGGGAAAACTCTTGTACTGTTGATGGGATGCAAACTGGTACATCCACTCTGGAAAACAGTATGGAGGTTCCTCAAAAAGCTAAAAATAGAACTACCCTATGATTCAGCAATTGCACTACTGGGTAATTACCCTCAAGAGACAAAACCAGTAATTCAAGGTGATACATGCACCTTTATGTTTATAGAAATAATGTGGACAGTAGCCACATTATGGAAGCAGCCCAAGTGTCCATCAATTGATAAATGGATAAAGAAAAGGTGTGTGTATACATATACATGTACATATACATATACACATACATTATAAATATATCTCTATATATCATATACATATATATATATGTTAGATACACACACATATACATATAATGGAATATTATTCAGCCATAAAAAGGAATGAAGTCTTGACATCTGAAACAACACAGAAGGAGCTAGAGAGTATTATGCTAAGTGAAATAAGTCAGAGAAAGACAAATGCCATATGATTTCACTTATATATGGAATTTAAGAAACAAAGCAAATGAGCAAAGAAAAAAGAGAGAAACCAAGAAACAGACTCTTAACTATAGAAAGCAAACTGATGGTTACCAGAGGGGCAGGGATAGGGAGATAGGTTAAATAGGTGATGAGGATTAAGGAGTGCACTTGTCATGATATGATAAGCACTGGGTAATCTATGGAATTGCTGAATCACTATATTGTATATCTGAAACTAATATAATACTGTGTGTTAATTATACTGAAATTTAAATTAAAAAAATAATTGTTATTATAGTTGGATTAATGTATATCACATATGTTACTGTTTTCTATTTGTTGAACTTTTTCTTCATTCCTATTTTTGTCTTTCACTTCCTCTGTCTTTTGTGGTTTTAATTAAACATTTTATGATTCCTTTTCTTTTATCGGTATATCAATTATACTTCTTTTTAAATTTATGTTAGTGATTGCCCCAAATTTTGCATGTATAACTACTCCAATTTTACATTCAGATATACTATACTACTTCATAGATAGTATAAGTACATTATATAACAAAGTATGCCTGATTCCTCTGTCGAATCCCTTATACCATTGCTGTCATTCATTTCAGTTATACATGTTATCGTTATTAAATTCATCACTGATATTATTTTTGACAAAACTGTTAATCTACTAGATTAATTATTAGAAAAATGAAGGATTTTATTGTACTTTCACTTTTTCTTTCTCTAGTGCTCTTCTTTTATGTAGGTCCATGTTGCGACCCATATCATTTTCCTTCCTGAGGAGTTTTTAAAATATTTCTTGAGAGATATGGCTACTACAACAAAGTCCCTCAATATTTATTTGTCTGAAAAAGTACATACTCCTTCACCTTTGAGAGATAATTTTGCAAGATACAGAATTGTGAGTTGGTGCTGTTTTCTTCTCAATATTTCTTTTTTTAAATGTTTATTTATTTTGAGATTGGAAGAGAGAGAGAAAGCAAGCCGAGGGACAGAGAGAGAGAGAGAGAGAGAGAGAGAGAGAGAGATGGAGGGAGAGAATCCCAAGCAGGACCCGTGCTGTCAGCACAGAGCCTGACATGGGGCTCGAACTCACAAACTGTGAGATCATGACCTGAGCCAAAATCAAGAGTCAGATGCTAAACTGACTGAGCCACCCAGGCACCCCTCAATATTTCTTAAATATTCACTTGGTTCTCTTCTTGCTTGTATGGTTCCTAAGGAGAAAGGATATGCAGTTTTTATCTTTTATACTCCATAGGTAATGGCTTTCTGTCTGCCCTCACCCCGAAGTTCTTTCAGGACTGTTTTTGTGGGGGGTTTTTGTGTTTGTTTTGGTTTGGTTTGGTTTGGTTTTGGTTTGGTTTGGTTTGTTTTCATAGTTATCTTGTTTGGCATTCTCGGAGCTTCCCAGATCTGATTTCGTTTTTGACATTAATTTGGGGGAATTCTCAGTCATTATTACTTCAAATATTTCTTCTGTTATTTTTTCAATTCTCCTTCTAGTATTCCTATTTCACATACATTTAAACTTTCATAGTTTCCCCACTGTTTTTGGATATTCTGTTTCATTTTTTTCAGTTTTCTCTGCCTTTCAATTAAAAAGACTTTATTGACATGTACTCAAACTCAGAGATTCTTTCTTCAGCTGTGTCTAGTCTACTTATAAATTTATCAAAAGCATTCTCCATTGCTGTTACAATGTTAGCATTTCTTTTTTGAATTCTTTCTTAGAATCTCCATTTCTCTGTTTACATTACCTAAATATTCTTGTGTGTTGTTTACTTTTTCCTTTAGATACCTTAGCATATAAATCTAGTTATTTTAAATTATTTGTCTAATCCCCAAATTCCATAGTATACTCTGATTCTAATGCTTGATCTATCTCTTGAAACTGTGTTTTACGTCCTTTAGTAATTTTTTTTTAATGAAAGCTACACATAATGTACTGGGTAAAAAGAACTGTGAGGCTTTAGTAATACACTAAATGGGAATGCAGAAAACATCTCATAGTACTATAATTATGTCTCAGTCTTTTAGTGACACTGTGCCCTTGAATTGTAAAACTCAAAAGTGCTTTTATCCTCCCACCACTTTAGGTGGGACAAAGGACTGGCTAGAGGCCTGGATTGAATTAACTATTTCTATTTCCCAATTTGGAAAGCTAGAAGGAGCTAGAGCTAGATGCTTCTCCCCACCCTGACACTCCCAGGTCAGTTAAGCTCTAGTAACATAGTTTTTCTTGAGGGCAGACCTTGTTAAGAAGAACAGAATGCTCTCGTATATTTCAAATGACTATTTTCCCCTCCTCCTGACAGAATCATAAGGTGGTTTCTCCCTGATTGTAACTGTGAGAACGTAATAGTTTCTGAAAGTAAAAACACAAAAGTATGTGCTCCCCAAGGCTGGTACCTCCTAGAATTTTTAACTCTCAGAAATGTTCACACTGAGTATCCAGCAATTTGCCAATTACAGTTTACATTTTCATATTGCAGTACTGGTTTTTGCTCATGGGTCTCTGCTCAGAAAAGTTGTGATGTATGTAGCTGATCAGCTGTTTATTCAATTTTGGGTCAGTGATTTGCCCTGTGATCCCAGTTCTCCGATAGATTTAAAATGAGTTTTATGTTTTTAGTTTTTCAGATTTGTAGTTGTTAGAATGAGTGATGACTTTCAAGCTCCCTTCGTGATGAATTTCAAACCAGATTTCAAAAATTTTTGGTCTTCATGTAGCAGTCCCACTTTCTAAGTAACTATTTTGTTTAATATATCTTATAACTATCAAGTATGAACTAATTACTTAATTTTTTGTGTCTATCTCCCCAACTAGAAAATGAAAGATCTTCCATGAAAACATAAACTTGTGTCTTCCTAACCACTGTATAATTTTCACATAAAACACTTACTAATACCCAGTAGGCTCTCCTTGATTATTTTTTAAATTAATGTCGGTATGAGTCACCAAATATTACTTGAAATACAGGGTAAATTTGTGATTTAGTGTTTGTATGATTTAATGATTTGATTTTTTAAATTTATTTGTCATAGAGATAAGAACAGTTTCCTTCAGTGTAAATAGCACTCTAAATATGCATTTGAAATAAAAGCAATCAGAATGTGGCCCAGCATCAATAATAAGAGTTGCAAATCTCCCAGTCTTTGCTTGTGTATTTAAGCAGAATTAGTGTAAAAGTTGATACTGGATGCAATTTCTGTTGGATTCAGTTTCTTAAAACATAAATAAATGCAAAGTCAACAATGGGAAGCAGCATGAGATAGACTGAAAAAGTTAATAGCAAAGTAAAGGTTATTGTTACATGGCACTGGTGAGTTTTAGGTAACCTGATAGGACTTCCACTGCTCCTGAGAGCACATTCATTTCTAACTTGAGAAGTTTTAAATGTTACATATTGATAGCGATTAAAATTGTGATTCTGGGCACAGTCAGAAGCCCAGTTTCCACTGAGCTACTCTTTAACAACATTTCCAAACACTGAATTTGTCATTGTCATTGTAGTTTCCAGGTTTTATTTGTTTCCCTTACTGTTTGTAATTCTTAATGCTGTTTATTTATAATGGTTTCAAGACATTTTGTAAGTCATGTACTAAAGATATAAGAAAATAGATGGAAATTTTAATAATTCTTCTATATGCTTAAAATAAGAATACACTTTTCAGACAAACCGAATGCCTTACTGTAATAATAAAGATTTTTCTAAATTGTGAGTATTTAAGAGATCTTCAAAAATCATATCTAAAAATCTAATGATAATCATCATCTTACTCAGACTAAGTATCAAACCTTTAGAAATTATGTTAGCTTGGTCTTCAACTCTTAAGAGAGTAGGTTTTGTGTATTGATGACAAGTATCTTAATATACAACTCACAGTTAAGAATAAAGAAAGTTGCCCATGGATATTTTTTTTCTTATTGCTTCTACCAAATTGTGTTTATAATCAAGTTTACTGATTAAAAATAAGGCCCTGGGGTGCTTGGGTGGCTTAGTTGGTTAAGCATTTGACCAGCTCAGGTCATGGTCTCACAGTTTGAGATTGAGCCACATGTTGGGCTCTGTGCTGACAGCTCAGAGCCTGGAGCCTGCTTCCAATTCTTTGTCTCCCTCTCTCTGTGCCTTCCCCACTTGCGTTCTCTCTCTCTCTCTCTCATAAATATGAAAAAATTTTAAAAAATAAAATAAAATAAAATAAAACAAAATGCCCAAAGAGCTGTCATTATCACCTGTGATTATTTCATTCTTATTAATTCTCTGGTAGTTTTCTA